GAAGGTTTTCTCTTTATGAGAAGCCTAAAATAGAAATAATTTATAGAGCGAAATAAAAGGGAGATGATAGGAAACAGGAAGGTAGACTTTGTGGGCATGGGATGGGGGTCTGGGGAAGGAGGAGGGCAGCAGGAAGGGAAATAAAAAAGACTCAGATGCGACAGTATCTGTACTGATTTCTCAAGGTGAACTCAGTTGCTATGTCCCACACATAGACCAATAAAAATAAGTGGATTTAAAAAAAAATAAGCTGATTACTTCCCTAAAAAGGGTAACTGGGAGGGCCAGGGATTTAGCTCAGTGGTGCTGCCGCCTGCCTCCCAAGTGCAAGGTCCTGAGTTGGATCCCTGGTACCAAAAAAAAAGGACAACTGGGAAGGAAATGACCCCTTCCCCCTGGACGGCCACACCCCCACACCTGTAACTGCAGCCTTCAGACCCCTGCTCACTGAGGACTCCACGGGGTCCACGGAAGCACCACACGGAGCCACTCTGGAAATGGGCTTTGACCGGGCGGGCCCTCCTTGCCTTGGGCCCCGGAGATTTGTTTATTCCAGTGCCTCCCAGGCCCCATCTGACTCAGAGTCCAGGCCCGAGCAACAAAGAGGCCATTTGATGAATGCAAACCTTTGAAATAACAAATGCAGAGTGAGAGATTGTGATGTTTGACCGGGATGTTCACCTGCTTCTGCAACCAGCGTCTGGCTTTTATTTCAACAGTGCCAAGAAGAATACCAGGTAAGCGGCCACAAATAAACCCTATCTCATTTGCTGTCTCAAGAATCCTCGATTGGAATTGACAGAAGCCACTAATTTACATTTCACAGCTGAATTCCTTTCTGTTTGTTTGTTTCAGATAGGGTCTCACTGTGTAGTTCAGGCTGGCCTTAAATTTGCAGGGATCCCCTTGCCTCAGCCTCCTAAGTGCTGAGATGACGGCTCCCACCACCATGCCCAGCTATCCTAGTCGAGTCCCTGATACCAGAGCTTCTAACCTGTATTTCTTGCATCCACATAAAGGCTCCTGAGGATGGGACAGAGCCTGGAGCTGGCCCTGGCCAGGAGGACACACCGTGAGCTTCCTGGAGGCCAGGTGCCTCTACCAGCGCAGGGCCCAGCAGGTGCGGGAACCTGGCACGGAAATCTGGCCTGGTGCGCAGCCCAAGCTGCACACCGGCGGGCGAAGTGAGCCATGCCGCATCCCACAGCTGCCCTCTGGGGGGCCAGGTTCAGCCCCCGCCCTCCACCTGGGTCACAGCCGCCAGCCATCCGCAGTGAAGAGGAGCAGTTCCTGCCTGAGACCCAGCTGCCCTCAGCCCTGCGCGCCGAAGCTCACACGGGATTAAAAGGCTTCACCTCCTGAGCTACCCGTGGTGCCCCTCGGTGGTGCCGCGGCCCCGCTTCACCCTTACACAGAGGCCTGCGGCTCCAGGCCTGTGTCCAGGCGGGGCGTCCCCACAAGGGCTCTTACAGGCCAACCTGGCCCACCCGCAGACGCCGCAAGACGAGCATTTGGCCTCTGGGTCCTCCTGAGAGGATGTGGCCTCAGGTCTCCGCCTCCCGGGCCCTCGATGCCCCCACACCCAGCAGCTGCCGGGTCTCTGCGTTGCCCTTGTCCCTGTCCCCTTCTCCTTAGGACCATCTCACCAGTCTTCGCTGAGCTCTTGGCCTCCAGATTCTCTCTGTAGTCCCTCTACCCACAGCACTGAAGCAAAGTCACCTCCCTAGCTCCAGAGCCTTCGATGGCTCCCTGTTGCCCAAGGGAGGAAGGCTGAACACAGTTACCCGTCTAGAAAGGCGGGAATCACACAGCCCTTGTGCACAGGAGGGGAGCAGAGGAGAGGCTGTGGCCCAGGGGCCTCTTGAGGGAGCTCTCCGAGAGCAGGGCCTCCAGAGATGCTCCCTGGCCAGAGGACACGGTGGTCAGCCGGTGAGTTCAAAGAACAAAGCCCAGGTCTCTGCTGCCTCAGCCTCGGGGACAGTGACATCACCTAGAACCTGCTCTCACTGAGGCTGAGAGCCCGGGAGAGAGCTGGGGGGGTGGGGACATGGGAGGCGGGGGCTTGGGGCAAGAAGCTGGGGGCACCAGGTGAGCCATGGGGTGGCCCCAGCCCCCAGGCCCATCATGAGCCCAGCAGAGGTTCCCGAACAGCCAAGTGCATGAGGCCTTTTGGGGACCCCAGCCCCCCACCCCATGAATCCAGGCAGGGGGTCACAGGGAAGAGAAATGCACCCAGCTTGGGGTCCACCGTCACCATGCCCACCACGGCAGGGCCAGCATCCCACTGGGAAGGCCCAGAGAGGGTAAGTAACTTGCCCAAGGCCACAGAGCAGGGCCGGAGACCAGGGATTTGAACTCCGGGCTTGGATCATTTCTCTGGGAACAGCAGCTGGGAATCATGCAGTTGTTCTGCTGGGCTGGAAAGTTTCCCAGCCACCAGGGCAGCTGATCCCCCACAGAGCCTGGAATCTCTTCCTGCCAGGAGGGGAGAGGGAACCCCACAAGGTCAGAGGCAGGAAGGGGCCGGAGCAGCCCCAGGATGTGCAGAGCCAGCCCTTCCGGGGCTCCTGTACTCCAGGGAGGTGCCAGGACTCACCCACCCTGTCACACACCAGCAAGGAAAACAGGCAGCTCCCTACTTGTTGTTGTGGTTGTTTGGTTTTTTGAGACAAGGTCTCACTGTGTAGCCCAGGCTGACCTTGAACTTGAAGTGATCCTCCCGACTCAGCCTCCCAGGTACTGGGATGACAGGCGTGTGCCACCATGCCTGACTCAAGGGAAGCTCCCTGTTTTACAGATGAGGAAACTGAGGCAGGGTCAGGTGACATGATGCATTGTAGGCTCTCCCCAAACCTAAGAGCCAGCACAAGGCATGGGGTGCCGGCACTATGAAGGACATGCTCTGAACTGGCCGGGACTCCTGCTATAAATATGGTGCTGACTCGGGTAACCTTAGCTGCCCGCTGCTGCCCAGGCCCAAGCCCAGGGCCTTGCATCCCCAAGCCTGCGCCTCCCACCGCTCTCCTGCTCTTCAGACTCTTCCAACACCATGTTCTTCCAACAGGCTCCAAGGGCTTGCAGGCTGAGCGGAGAGCACTCTCTCTGGAGGGGAAGGGGCACTGCTGCGGACGGATCCTCCATGGCACCTGCCTGCCCCTTGGTCCAGGGAGCTCCCCAGCCGAGGGGCCAACCTGGGCCCTGTGCAGACAGAGCACGGGACCTCATGCCAGTCTCTGTTCCACCATTTAGCAGCTGGGTGACTCTGGGCAAGCTGTGATTAGCATGCACGGTTCTCTCCAGGGCATAAAAGTCTGTCCACTGTGTCCACCACAAAGTCCAGCATGGTGGTGCACACCTGTATTCCCTCCTCTCCTTCTCTGGGTGGTACACAGGGTCTCACTAGGTACCCCAGGGTAACCTTGAACTCTCTGGGATCCTTGGCCTCAGCCTCCCGAGTGCTGGGATTATAGGTGTGCACCACCACGCCCCTTATTGCCACTTCAGGATCTGATGTCTGCTGTTAACCCCACTCAACAGATGAGAAAGTTGAGACAACGCCCTTGAGTAAGCTGCCCAAGGTTACAGGGTGGCGAACAGGCAGTTGAGAACGTTTCCACGAGGGACACAGCCCCAAACAGGAAACCTATGTCACAGCAGCCTGCCAGGGGGCGGGATCTCAGAGATGCCCAGATGTCTGGCCACGCACTCCCCGGACCCCTTCTTCCACCAGAGCCTCCCGCTCAGTGGCGTCCTCCTCTGCCAGCGTGCTCTGCTTCCTGTGGCCTGGGCTCCGTGTGGAGCTGCCCGAGCCCTGACCTGGCCAGGAAGGACAGAGCCGGTAGGAACCAAACACTGCCTCCCTGCCGAAGGCCCCTCCCTGCTGGGTGGGATGGGGAGGGCAGGCCGCAGCCTCCTCCTTCTGCGTCTCAGCTGTACACCAGCGCGCTCAGCGCCGGCCATCGCCGGGCTAATATTGTCCTGGCCTTCCTGAAATACTCCCGGGCGGCTTTACATGCCCTAAAGCAGGGCCGCGTCCCGGGGCAGGGAGAGAGCTATTCCGGGTCGGCGTCAGGTGTGGGGCTCTGCTCCCGCCCAGCAATGCCTGGCGCCCGGGGAGACGGCCAGGCCAGGCTGCTTGTTCGGGTGCCCCCTCCTCCGCTGACACGCACACACACACGTGAGCACCCAGGCCAACTGCCGGTGCCCATAGCACCCCCAGCAGCTCCCAGGAGTGCCCATGACACACCAGACACGGCAGCCACGCCGCCCGCAGCACACGGCGCACTGGGCACCGTCCTCACTCTCCACTCCCACCTCGGGACTTGGAGGCTCAGAGACGTCAAGCCACTTGCCCAAGGTCACCCAGCCTGGAAGTGAAAGAACTGGCGTTGGACCTGGGTGGCCTAGCTCCAGGGTCCCCGACGTCACCCCGGGATGGGACTGTCCCCAGAGCCCCGCCGCAGCTGGCTCAGGGACATCACCTTGGAAGGGGCCAGCAGCCAGTGCCCACCGCACCTCGTGCCAAGAGTGGCCAGGGGCACGTGCACAGGCCACAGAGTCTGGCCACCTCGCCAATCGAGGTCCCTGGCCATTTCCAGCCCGGAGGATTTGGGGGCCCGTGCCAGGGACCAGACCTCAGATCCATAGGGACCCCAGGGACGCTCCTCAGATAAATGTTCACAGCACCCATTTGCATGGGTGCCGGGGCCCGGGCGCCTGAGCCCACCCTGGGGTTCAGCCCATCCAGGTCCCTGTGCCCTGTGGGTCTCCTGGCCCCACCCGGAAGCAGGCAGGGCTTCCTGTTGCAGCCTCTGGGAAGGGGTGCGGCTGAACTTGGCTTTAAAAGTCAGGCTCCCCTGGCTTGGCCTGGCGTCGGGCTGGCAGGAAGAGGGTCCAGCTGCACAGCTGTCTGCAGCCTGTGGAGCCCTGGTGCCCTCCGAGACTGGCGGCCTTGGCTCTGCAACAGGAGCCGAGGTGGTAAATATAGCACTGCCACTCACCGGCGGAGGGGCCCTCGCCGTCCGACATGGTGCGGGCAATGGGCAGCTGCTGGCCCCCAGCCTGCAGGGACTCTTGAGACCTTGGTGGCTGTCACCCACCCTGCGGGGCTCAGGCTCCTCCGTGTCCAGCCCCGAGGCAGCAGCCCACCTCAGCCAGCCTGGCCACCCCCAGTGGGGCTGGGCAGATAAGAGCAGCTCCCGGCCAGCAGCCCAGGTGATTGGTGGATAATCTGGGACTGCCCTCCCTGCCCGGGCCTCACCGAGGCGGCTCGGAATGTCACCTGAGAAGCCACTGCACCCCTGGGTGCTTGGTCCCTGGGGGGCCCAGAGAGCTGCTCCCCAAGACTGCCCCAGCCCTGAGCCCGGGAAACGTCTGGGCCCTGGGGAGGAGACAAGGAGGTGACACCACGCGGAGTGCCACCTCTCACTGCTCTGATCACGGGCTCATGGGGTCTGCGTCACCTTGGGCAAAGTGACTGGCCAAGGAGCCGGCCCCACGGGTGTGGCGGGGACCTGTCTCCAAGGCCACAGGAAGGCCGACCCTGCCTAGGATTTTTGGTGATGGGCTGGGGCACCTTTGGGGGCACTTAGGTGTGGGGGGCTGGGATGACCTGGGACCTGCAGGGAGCCAGAGACTTTGTGCCTGGCACTAGGGCTGCTGGGAACACTGGCTAAGAGGACCCACCCTGCAAGCACCCAGCGTGCACTTGCTTCAGGCCAGGCCCCAGCCCAGCCTTACTCCAGGGCCCCAGGAGGGTCCAAGCCCCAAGATGCCTCCCACCCCAGTGCTGAGGTCTGCCTAGGGCTGCGGCAGAGAGCTTACTTCTTGTAAGGTGGCTTCAAGCCGGGGGAGAGAAGCAGCTTCTGAGGAGCTCTCAGAGAAATCAGAGGGCTTCCCGGAGGAGCTGGGGTCTGAGTGACCTTGTTAAAGGGCAAGCAAGTTCCTCAGGGGAAGAGGGCTCCGGGGAGAGGGAGCAGAGGGTAAGAGGTGGCAGGTCCCCAAGTGCTTGTGGAGGGAGGCATTCAGGGCTGGGGAGGTCGGGGAGGCTTCCTGGAGGAGGGACCAGAGCCTCGGAAGAGTGAGGGGTGGGCATCCTGGCTACCAACTCTGTGTCCTTGCCTGGTCCTTGCCTGTCCACGTCTTGGTTGGCTCGTGCTGTAGTGACAGGTACTGAGCTCACCATCACAAAGTGTACACAAGCTGGCGGAGCCTTTGGTTGGGGATACAGATGGAATTCAATGGCTTTGGGGTCGTTTCCCTGGGACTTGCCTGCGTGCATCCTGGGAGCCCCTTTGGTCCAGGGCAAACCAGGACAGTTGGTCATCCTGCGTCCCTCCAAACCAAGGTTTTTATTTTAATTGAAAAAAGAAAAAGCCAAGCCAAGCCAAGCCAGAGCAGTTTTGCGGCTGTGTCCAGAGCTCTTGGCCCCACCTCTGCTCCTGTAAACCCCTCCCTGCTTCCTCCTCACTCCCAGAACCACATAGAGACCGCGCCTGGGGTAACAAGACGGCCTCTAAGAGAGAAGCCAGCTGCCTCCAGCGCCCCGACCTGCCCAGTGGGAGGAGCCCTCCTGAAAGGTGGGAGGAGCCTCATCTATAAGGTGGGAGGAGTCTGTGAGGGGGAGGTCAGGACCGCCTTTGACGGAGCAGTGAGGCAGATCTCAGCCGCGCCTCTCCCCTGGGGGTGGGACCAGGACAGAGCCGCTGCTCTCCCTTGGTGCAGGAGGGAGGAGATTGGCGTGGGCTAGGGTCGGACACCTCCCAGGCCTGGCCTTGCTCAGTGTGGCTGTGGACGCTGTGGTCCCCTGGGCATTTTCCACATCTGGGGAGCGTTCGTGAGCACCTGCTGGGTCCTAACCCAGAGTTCCTGTCCCGGGCCGAACTGTCTCTGGCGCCAACCTGGGCAGAGCCTGTGACCCCGTCTTGGCTCGGTCTCCTGTGGTCCTGCTTGGGCTCCCTGGAGGGGCTGCTTCAACAGGGAGCCGGCGTGGAACAGAGCAGCCACGGGTCACAGGCCATTCCAGTCCCCCCTGGGGGCAGTGACAGATGACCCCAGTGTGGGCTGCGGGCGGGACTGTAGGCACCTCACCTTGCTGCTGCCTGGAGGTGCAGGAGCAGAGCAGGAAGGAGCTAGCGATGGGGGGCCTGGGACAGAGGCTGCCTGCACCAGCGCTCCTGGGTGACGGGGACCAGCCCAGCCCAGCCTAGCTTCGGTCTCTCCTTAAGAATGGGCCGTGACAAAGTCCACACCAGGGCCCAGAGCCATGTGGGCGTGCCACGTCCCACCCTGCAGCATCTGTCCGCCCAGTGTTCCCTCAAGGGGCCGGCCAGTGCTGGCTTCTCCTTCCTGTCCTTGGCCCCAAGGGCTTCCTGTTGTCCTTATTGTGGGAACATGTGACAGGAAAGGCAGCTCCACTCCCTGCTCCTGAGTTCTTGGCAGAGGGAATGGGCTCACGGCGTGTGTGTGTGTGTGTGTGTGTGTGTGTGTGTGTGCAGGGCACAGGTGTGAGAGCTTGCTCACAGGTGCTCGGCAGTGGATACCTGTGGGGGTGTGAATGCAAGAACATGTGTGTGACAGCATGTGATGTATGCTCCTGGCTGAGCATGTGCGTGTGATATGTAGGAGCTGCACACAAGTGTGTGTGTGTGTGTGTGCGCACGTGCAATGTGTACACACGTGTGTGGCCCTGGCTGCCACCAGCTGCCCCTGAAGCTCTGACTGGTCATGTGCTGCCAGCCCCAGGCTTGCAGGTGTCTGATGCCAACTTCCACAAGAACTGGGTGGGCACGACAGCCTGGCACGGCTCCCCTGGCCTGATGAGGGGACTCGGATCAGGAGGGATGGGCAGGGCCCAGGGAGGACCCCTGGGGGTGGTGAGGAGCAGGGAAGAGCTGGGCCCCCGGGCTGGTGAGATCACTGGGCTGGAAGCAGAGATCGGGCAGGCAGGGGTTGGGGCTCCTGAGGGTCGGGTGATGGGAAGGGCACCCAGGTGGGTGGGGACGGGAGGAAGCCCCGTCTGGCTGTCTCCTGCCCAGGCACCCAGAGCCTCCTCCCCGGGGGCCCCTCAGCAGAGGCGGGGCCTCATCTCCCATAGTGGCCATGGCTTGAAGGACAGTGGGTGCCACACTGGATGGCACAGCAGCCTCGGGTGCGTGGCCTTGGGCAGCTCATGACCCCAGCTGGCGTGGGGTGTGGGGGCCCCATGCTCCTCAACAGGCCCTGGCCCTCAGCAGCGCACACCAGGCCTCCTACCACCCGGGGTATGCAGCGGGCTCGGATCTCACCCTGTCACCCAGAGCCTTCGGGGACACAGACAGCCAACAGTGGCTCAGACATATGGAGAAACATACATGACACACACACGGGGTTCACACGAAGGCCCACACATACAACTCATATATGCAGGCTCTTACACAATGCACACAGAGAAACACAGGCTCACACACATGATTCACATACATGACACATATGGTTCACATACACACGCACACTCCCCTGCATGGCCCTGGGGCCGACCTCCCCCACCCAGCACCCCTGGCTCAGCCCAGACTCCCCAACTGACCCCACTTGGGTGGCCTTGGGCAGCACCCACCCTGCCTGTCCCCAGGCTCCCAGCCAGCAAAGAAGCCTGGGCGGCCAGGCCAGCTGCTTGGGGGACCCTGGGGGCTCAGTGGGTGGGTCTTGGGTTCCTGGAGATGGGAGCCATCGTCCTGAGGGAAGGGGCAGGAGTGGGGAGCTGGTGGGGAGCCCCCTCTGCCCTGGCCCTGGATGGGACAGGACCTTCCCGGGGGGCCTTGTACAGGGGCCCCAAGCTCCAGGGCAGCTGACCCTGGGCTGCCACCAGCGGGAGGCCACTCAGCAGACAAACCAGGTCCCTCCCCACCAGGTGTCTCCCCTCGGAGCCCTTGTCCTGGTCCCAGCCCCCACTGTTAGAGTAGGGATTGAGGGGTGGCCACAACTGCTGTCATCCCCTCTGCCCCACCCCGCCTCCCCAGCCAGAAGCAGCAGGGGATCTGGGCCTTGCCCGCCTGCTCAGCACTGCCCTGGAACCTCCCAGCCACCTGAAGGGTGCTGCTTGCCTCCTGCCAGCCCTCCAGGCCAGGCCAGAGCTGGACACGCAGCACCTGCAGGGCTGGGGACTCTTCTGGACCCCATCCTGCAGGAGCCCTGCCTCTGAGCTCCCTCAGCAGCCAGAATCCTCAGGCCACTCCCACTGGGGGCCCGCTGGCCTTCAGCAAGGGCTTGGGAGGGAGCAGCAGATGGGGCTGTAGGAAGTCTGGGCCAGCATGAAGGGCTCTGTGTCCTCATAGGGCCAGGGCCCAGCCCAGACTCCCAGCAGAGCCTTCCTTGGTCAGCAGCTAACGGCTATGGCTCGGCGGTGGCCTTTGCCACATGCTGGCTGGTGAAGTCCAGGAGGGCCACAGTCTCAGCCCCTGCTCCCAGAGCACAGGCCGGGGATCCCAGGCAGCACCCACACAGGGCTACGCTAGGGGGCTTCCGGCCTATGGCCAGGTGTGCAGTGAGGAACCTGCTCGCCCAGGCCACTGCCGCACGGAAGGAGGAGGGAGGCCCGCGCCCCGTCTGTGAAATGGGGCCGGCGCGGCACGTCACGCTCGGCGTTGCGCACTGCATCCCCGAGGCAGCCCGGGCCCGGCTTGGGCTCGCGACCTGCCCCGGCCTCGCCTGCAGGAGGCTGGCGGGGTCCCCCGGGTCGGGCCTGAGGACTCAGAGGCCCGCGAGGTGCAGAAGGCCTCACCCCGCTCTGCCTGCTGCTCCTCGGAGGACGCGAGCGCTGCTCCCGGGCGCCCCCTTGCGGCTTCTTGGGGAACTGCAGGCCTCGACTCCAGAAGAGCTCGCCCTGGCTTTCAGGGAGCAAGCAGTAAAGACGCTAAAGACGGTGGCCAGGCCTGGGCAGGAGGTCTAGGGCATGGGCCGGGGATGAGGGCTGCTGAAGTTCAAAGAAGGGTTGTAGAGGGAGAGAGGCGATTTCCAGCGATTTCCAGCAGGGCAGGTGGGCGGCCATGGGGGCCAGGGCAGGGTGAGAAGACAGCGCAGGTGCTGGAATCCGGGCCTGCTGTTCTCAGGGTGGGCAGGGCTCCGGGTGGGCAGAGGACGGTGGACACCGTGGACAGCTGGCGGGGCCCAGGGCTCAAGCATGGCGCTGAGGATCCTGAAGGCGGGTTGAAGGCAGTTGATCTCTGCGCCGCAAGGTGCGAGGCTAAGGACGCGCCCTGAGGAAGGGGCTGCCTGGGGGTTGCCGCCCCCCGGCTCAGGCAGGGCAGGAAGGGTCGGTTTCCTCCACCCCTGCCCCTCCGGAGGGTTTCAGTCTCCCGGCTGGGGCGGCCCGATCCCCCCTCTGCCCGGTCAGGAGGTGCCAGGGGGTGGGTATGTGTGCCCGCTCCACCAGGACGCTCCAGGGAGGCCCCGAGCCTCCACACCAAGCTCGCAGAGCCTTGGGGCCGTCCTGGTAGCCTGGGACATACTCTGCCACGGTGGTGCCGTCTCGCTAACAGCTGCGCAGACAGAGGCGAGAGCACCGGGCTGGTGGCCTTTCGTTCATGCAGTCAACACACGTTTATTGGGCGTCGACTCTGTGCCAGGCCCCTGCAGCTGAGGGGTCGGAGGCGAAGCACACTCGGACCCTGCCCTCGGGGCGTGGGTCACGACGGTGGATACTCACGGTACAGTGCGGTCAGTGTGGTGTTAGAGGTAGCACAGGGGACACAAGGGAAGGACCCCGGCCCGGGTGGGCGACAGGGAGGGCTTCCTGGGGAACGGGGCACTTGGAGAGGCTGCAGGGTGTGGGCAAGAATTAGGGCGTCTGAGTGAGCGGCTGGTGCAGAGCTGGGGGAGCGGGGAGCCCTCGGTGGCAGTGGAATCAGAGGACCGCCAGGGAGGCCTCGCAGCCACAGGCGACAGGGGCACTGAGGGCGTGAAGCAGGCAGTCGTGGCGGCACAGGGCTGGCGGGAGCCAGGGCAGAGGGGCCAGGGAGGGGACAGGGCGCGGGCGGCCAGGGCAGCGGAGGTCGGCGTGGACGGCGCGGTGGGAGGAGTCAGCAGGGCGGCGGTGGGGGTGCGGGCTGCCAGCCCCGGGGCCGCAGGGTGCACAGCACGGGGTCCAGTGGCTTGAGAGTGGCCTGCTCCTGCAGCCCGTAGCGCTGCCCGGGCACCAGGCGGAACTCCAGCCTCTGCAGCAGCTTGGCCATGACCACCTTCACCTCCATCTGCAGGCCGAGGGCGGGAAGGGGAGCGGCGTGGGGCAGGGAGAGTCCTGCCCGCCTCCCACCTCACCCCCGCACGGCCCAGCCCGGCCCACACCCCTACCTGAGCAAACTGCTGCCCGATGCAGGAGCGGTGGCCCAGGGAGAAGGGGAAGTAGGTGAACCGAGGCCTGGGGGAGAGAGCAGGGTGGGGTTGGTGCAAGGGATGCAGCAGTGACGCGGCCTCCCCTTGCTGATGCCCGCTGTGAGCCGGGCACAGAAGCACCCGGAGCCAGCGCTGCGGAGCCCCGGGCCTGCCCTCCCATCCCCCCACGGTACACACCAGGAGGCAGGAACTGGGCTCAGAGGGGCAAAGCCTCTGCCCAAGGCCATTCGTCGGTCACATTCGGTTTGGGATCTGAACGCAGGCCGGGAGCATGGCAGCTGTGCCGCTGGCCGGGTCACCCAGCCTCTTCGAGCTGTGGCCGTGGTGACTGTCCTGCCACCTGGGGCAGCTTGGGAGGGACTTACTTGGGTGCTCCAGGGCCAAAGCGGTCGGGGTTGAAAGTCAGCGGGTCCTCAAAGTAGGTGTCCATGCGCCCCATGACATAGGTGCTGAACTGCTGGGCAAAGGAGCTAGGGTCCCAGGCTCTGGGGGGCTGTGTCCCTGGAGCCTCCCAACCCACTAGTGCATGACTTGGAGAGCAGCAGCCCCCACCCTCCGACCCCCAGGTAGGCAGCTGTGGCTGCCCACTGTCCCCCCCAGCCAGCTGTGTGTGCTACACCACCCCACACCTGGCACAGCCCTCTGAGGAGCTACCATTGTGCAGATGATGAAACTGAGGCTCAGCAAACGGCTTGGTGGCTTGCTGGAAGCCACCCAGCAAGCTGTGGTCAAAATGAGGTCTGGGGTTTCTACACTGTTGATGGGAGTTGAAACTGGTACAGACGCTATGGTGACCAGTGTGGAGGATCCTCAAAATTCCACTCGACTCAGCTATTCTCAGAGTTAAAGACATCATATCACAGTGATCCACGCACACCAACATTTACAGCAGCAGAACTCATAATAGCTAAGTCTTGGAAGCAGCGCATGTGTCCATCAGCAGATGAACGGACAAAGAAAATGTGGTATTTATACACAACGGAGTACTACTCTGCCATAAGGAAGGACAGACTGGTGTAATTGTAGGAATGGATGCACCTGGAGACATAATGCTACGTGACAATACTTGGATGTGTGCTAGGGAGGCTGAGTGGAGCCAGGGATGGGTGCGGGGGTGGGGGGCTGCTCACCCCGGGTCAAAACAAAAACAGGTACTGCCATGTGGCCGCTGCATCCCACCAAATTCACATGCTGAAGGTCTAACTTCAGAATGGAGCTGCCTTTGGTGAAGGGTCTTTAAAGAGGCGATGCAGTGAAAGTGAAGTCCGTGGCCCTAGTCAGTGTCACTATGACCTTAAAATAGCAAGATGCAGATGCCCAGGACCAAGTGAAGATGGGAACAGGGCACATGAGAGCCAGGGGAGAGGCCTTGGGGGAAACCAGCCCTGTCCACGCCTTGACCTTGACCTTTCTGTGGTGGAGGCCCCCACTCTGTGGCACTTGGCAAACCCACACGATCCCTGCTTCACAACCACACACAAAGTCGGCTCTGCTGGGTAAGAGCTTAGCTTTCTAAAGAAAAATGGAAAATTCCTAGAGGGCAATGAAAGTAAATATCCTGAGCTCAGGATGGGGAAGGAGTTCTTAGAGAGGACAAAACGAGAAAGCTAACCAAGAAAAGAGGGTAAGAACCTCAGATTGTCAAAAATGCATGAATGGGTCGGGGATTTAGCTCAGTGGTTCTGTTGCCTGCCTCGCAAGCGAAATTTCCAGACTTTGATCCCCAGTACCAAAAAAAAAATTGCATGAATGAAGACAAGCCACAAATCTTGGGAAACACTTCCAACACAGAAAACAGACAGGATCTCTACATGAGTGTGTTGGTTTTTTAAAGCCAAACAACTGAAAAGGGAAAACCAAGCCAGCATCTCACAGAAGAGGAAAAAGCAGGCAGGGATGGTCTACCTCACCAGGGACCAGAAAGTGCAACCCAAGACCACTGCAAAGTGCTTGTGGATGTGTGTTTGGTTGGCAAAGAGTTAGACACCAGGCCGTCAAGAGTGGTGAAGGGAAGAGCAGGTGTCTTCCGAGCCACTAGGGCCGTCCGAGCTGACACGGCCACTTGGGAAAATGATTTGGGACAAGCTTGTAACTCCAAGGCCCAGTGCCCCACATCTGCCTCTTTCTCCTGCGTGGGTGCCCCAGAGACACGTGGACAGGAACGCCCAGAGCTGCGGGGTGCTGGGGACCCCTCCCAGGCCTGCGGCCAGGACTGCACCAGTCAAGGCAGGATCAGACGAGAGAGCACAGGGCGGCAGGAGAGCCTGGAGCAGCAATGTCACAGACCCCGGGCCTCCATGGAGTCCCTGACCGGCCACCCCAGTGGGAGTAACAGGCCGCCCACCCGGAGCCCCACGCACCAAGAGGGGGGTGTTGCCGGGCACTCTGACCCCATCGATCAGGGTCTCCTCTTCCAGCAGGCGGAAGGTGCCCCAGGCTGGGGGGTACAGCCTCAGCGACTCCTTGAGGACCTGTAGGTGCCATGGGGAGATGGCAAGTCACAAGTCCCCCGGGACGTGCCCCACACCCCATCCCAGGACTGGGTCCCCAGCAGGAGCCTTCGCCACCTCCTCCTGGGACAGACGGAGGAACTGAGGCCCAGAGGAGAAAGGAGTTGAGTGGGGACAAGAAGCCAGGGCTCCTCCGTCACAGACAGGAGACTGGGGCAAGTGGGGAGGCGGCATTCTGATGACAAATTGCCCGCATCCGCCCAGAAGCTTCTCCTGCGCCCACACCTGAGACAGGTACTGCAGTCTGCCCAGGTCCTCGTAGTCCAGGTGCCTCTTAGAACCAATGACCTCATCCACCTCAGCCTGCAGCCTGTCAGATGAGACACGGTGAGGGCCATTGCCAGAGACCTCTGCCCACTGCAAGTCCTGCCAACCCCACCGCGTCTGGGGCAAAAGCAAGAAGCAGGTCCCTCGGAGACCTCAGAGCACCCCGCTTTGGCATCAGCTGTAGGAGATGACTCGCCCATGCCAGAGGTGCCATCCTGGCCTGGGTGACAGTGGTCAATGGCTAGGGACAGCGGTGAAGCAGCCCAGGGAAGCTGGCTGGGCTAGGTTTGGAATGGGATGGACTGGAGGGCTGGTGGGTCCCCCAGTGGCAGGATGCGTGCCTAGCCTGACATGGGGGCCTGATCCTCACTAACACCGAGAGAGGGAGGCGGGGAGGGAGGGAGAGAGAGGAATTGGATACTTCCCACCCGTGAGGACTGCTATGGGCAAGAAAAAAAGTAAAGAAAAAATATCAAGTGTTGCTGAGGATACAGAGAAACTAGAGCCCTGGTGCACGGTTGTGGGCATGTAAAACAGTGCAGCTGCTGTGGAAACACCAGCCATTCCTCAGAAAACCGAACAAGGGTTTCCACGCAGCCCAGCAGTTCCCCCCAGTGTCCACCCTAAAGAACTGAAGGCAGCAGCTCTGGGAGCTAACAGAGCATCCCTACTCGCAGCATCCACCACCCGTGGACTGCTGGGTGGGGAACCCCGATGTGTCCATCCACACCACGGTATGGGATCCGCTTGTGAAGGAAGGGGGTTCTCACGCCTGCTGCCACACAGGTGAAATAAGCCAGTCACAAAAAGGACAACGCTGCCCAGAGCCATTATAGAGGGGCCAAGAGTGGACAGACGCCCAGGTCAAGGGTGCTGGGGCTGGGACTGGAAGTAAGGAGTTGTGGAGGTTCAGAGCTCCAAGTTGGAAAGATGAGCATGCTCTGGAGGCGGTGCCAATGTCTCAACAGCATGCGTGAGCTTCCTGCCACTGAATGCACGCTTACAAATGGTCAAAGCACTGAATTGTAGCTGGGTGTGGTGGTGCATGCCTGTGATCCCAGCACTCCTGGAGGCTGAGGCAGGAGGATCACAAGTTTGAGCCCAGCCTGGGAAACTCAGTGTCTCAAAATTGAAAAACAATTTAGAAAGGGTTGGGGAGGTAGTGCCGTGTGCAGGCCCTGCATTCCATCTGCAGCACTTCAAGAGAAGAAAAAGGGTGAATTTTACATTATATATTTTTTACCACAAGTAAAACACACAGAGGACTGGGGAAGAGGGGACAATACCAGGGGACAGGGCTGTGATGAACTTCGTGAAGGACTGGGCAGACCTGGGGCTGCGGGACACAAACTCCACCTGTGGTAGCCCGTGACTCCGGTGGCTGGGCGCCGTGGGTGAGTTTGCTATTGTTATCATTTTAACTTTTATGATTTTTCACAATTTTTTTTGTAGTGCTGTGTGTGCTAGGCAGTTCCTATGCCACAGAGCTACAGCCAGTCAGCCAATTTTTTATATAAATGTGTGTGACTATTAAATACATATTTTAAACCAAATACATATTTTAAACTTTCTGTATGTTCACAGATAATGTTTCATTCTGCCTTTTGATGCTGAAGATGACTAACACTTTTTTATTTGTTTTGTTCTTTCAAAGAGGATTTGCTATGTCGTCCAGGCTGGCCTTGAACTCTGGATCCTCCTGCCTCAGCCTCCTGAGAGCTGGGATTACAAGTTTGCACCACCACACTTGGTGACGACTGACACTTGAACCCCAGGCCTTCATCCTCCCAGTGTGCCCATCGCAGGGGGCCTTTGTGCTTGGTTGGGGAAACGGCAGGTGCAAAGGCCCCGGGTGCTGGCAAGCAGAGGTTTTGCCATGAAAGAAGTGCCATGGCCTTGGGAATGAGACATCAGAAAAGCCCCTCTGCCAACCCCCAGGGCGGCGCCGTACCTCGCCACGATCTCTGGCTGGCGGCACAGCTCCATCACCGTGAAGGCCAAGTGGTTGGCAGAAGTCTCGTGACCTGGGGGCAGAGGGGGCAGCGGCTGCTTCACGCATCCTGGGCTGCTGGTCAGCTGGCCTCGGAGGCCGAGGGCAGACAGGGGACAGCACCAGCGAGAGGGGCAGCGCTGGCTCAGAGGCTGGCAGTCCGGGCCGAGCTGACAGTCAGCGCCCAGGCTCTGCAGGGCTGGGGCTACAGCTGAGCACCACCTGTGCCACCAAGACCCGCAGAGCCACCTGGGGACGTGGGCAGAGGCGGCTCGGGCACTCGGCCACTTTCCCCGGGGCGGATGCCTCTGGAAACCACCCGGGCTCCCTGCAGGCGGGCGTGGAGGCTGAGGGGCAGTTTCCTAGGTGACCGGGACACTCAGAGCCACTGAGTGAGCAAATGTGCCTCGTGGCCCAGTGCCTCTTTGTGCCGATCTGATGAAGGCCCCACGGCTTCATGCGGGGCAGGACCGGACGCCAGCTCGGCCCAGCCTGGACACAGCCACGGGACTGCAGAGAGGGGTCCCCGCCCTCGCCCAGCCCCAGCAGAGCTCTCAGGCACCCCACTGCCTCTCAGTCTGGGCTCGGGTGATGCAAGGCGCCCGCGGTTTCCCAAAAGGTCTGAGCCCTGGGCCGTCTGGGAAGCTACACACCGGCAATGAAGAAGGTGACAAAGTTGTCCAGCAGGACCTCGTCGTCCCGGGCCCCCTCTTCAGCTGAAAGACAAAGAGACCTTCAGTGCCCGCCCCAGGGTCCTGGCTCCCCTTCCCCACGCTCATGAAAGAGCCAGCTGTCAGCTGGACTGCGGGGAACGCCTGTCATTCCAGCACTCTGGGAGGCTGAGGCAGGAGGACTGCAAGTTCCAGCCCTGCCTGGGCAACTTAGCGACTTTGCCAGACCCTGTCTCAAAATGAAAACTAAAAAAAGGTGCTGCGAGGTAGCTCGGCGTGAAGGCCCCGGGTCCAACCCCAGTACAAGAGAGAGAGGGGAGGAAGGGAAAGGGCAGAAGTGAGCCACCCGTCTAGAAGCCGGACATTGTAGGCCGGGCCGCGCACCTTTGAGGAGCTGCGTGAGCACGTCCACGGGGACGCTGTCGCCCCGCTGCAGGGCCTCTCGGCGCCGCTGGACCCAGTCCTTGCCCACCTGGCGCAGGAGGCGGATGCTCTCGCGGATCTCCCGCAGCTGCTTCCTCCAGCCCGGCAGGAACTGGAAGAGCCGAGGCTCAGGGGCGCGGACCGGACCGCACCCGCCTGCCCGCGCGCCCCACCCCAGGACGGACATCCGCAGCGCGGCCGGCCGGGGGCCCAGGAAAGTGAGGGAAGTCTAGAAAAGACGAAGCGTCGGGGACGGCGTCCGGACCGGAAGGAGGCCTTGGGGAGCCCTGGGACGTGACAAGGAGGCCCGCAGGGTGGAGACAGTTAGGACGGCACCACAAAAGAGGAAATCATGCCCAAGGGAAGAGAAGTGGAATCAGCGGCTGAAAAGATGGGGTGGCATTGGGGGCTGCAAGCTCAGAAAGTGAAGTCCCAAGGCACAAGAGGGGAACCTGGAGGTCAACTCGGGAATCACCTTTCCCCTGTCTTCCTTCTTCATGTCTGGAATAAGGAAGTGATAGCTGGAGCTACAGCAGTCATCTTATGACAATGAGGTGATGGCTGAGGACAGGGGAACACAAAGACAGAAGGATTCGGGAATATCTGATGTGGGGGAGCCACCGCAGCCACCCTAGATTGCCTGCTTCGGGGATCATTTAATGTGAGAGAGAGATTAACTCCTAACTTACAGTTCACCACTTTGACTTTGTGCCTGTGCTTTAGGCAATGCCCACAAATCCTGGTACCAGATATTAACACCCATTCTGAGAAAACGACTGCAGGATGTGCCTCAGCGAACACAGGCAGCACAGCTACGGAGGCTGGTCCTGGGGAGCAGGTGGTGGGGTGGTACCTTCGCAAGAGTGTTGCGGGACGCACTGATGCCCTCCAGCATCACTTTCACCGCCTGCGACAGAGGCTTCTGGGCACCCAGCAGCATGCTGGTCTCCATCCCGAAGGCTGCCTGGGGGTGAGAGGAGGGTGTGTCATACCTAGGGGTGGGAGGACAGCAGAGCCAGGCAGAGCTGGGACTCAGGCCTGGGCCACACAATGCCTGTGCACAGTGCACCGCTCCTTATGGGAGCACAGCCCAGGCCAGGCCCCGAATCTCTGGGTGTTGGTGTCTAGAGAATCAGCAGCTGCCCCAGACTCACGCTAAGTTGCTTTGAATATCCAAGGAAGCAAAACATGGAGAATATGGGGAGCACAGTGAAGGGGCAGCTGGTACACAGAGCAGCAGGAGGCAGGGGAGGCGAGCAAGGGGAGGAAGAGGGGAGAGAGAGGACCCCGCCCCACGTGCCCCTCCGGGAAACTGGCCCATCACCTTGGCCAGGATGTCAATGGTGGCGCAGGTCAGCATGTCCTGCATGGACACCGGGGTCTGCCCATCTGCCTTGGCCTCCAGGATCTCCACCAGCTGCCCGGCCTTCTCGTTGAATGTTTCCATCAAGCTGACCAGGGAGCTGGGGAGACAGCACAGGCATCAGCGGCCACCAGGACCGGCCCTGCTCTGAGCGCGCCCTGTGCCCTGCCTTTCTGCAGAGCCAGCGGGGCCTCCTCGCCTCTCTGACCTCTGCTCCAGGTGCAGATGGTAGCCTGGGGCCTCACCATTCCCTCCCCTTCTGATGGACACTGCCCCTTTGCCTTGTCTTGGTGGTTTTGTAGGTCCTCTGTCTGCCAGTGTAGACCCCACTCTGACAACGGGGCACAGCAGACTAAGACTCAGGGCCTCTTGGAGTCCACGATGCGGCTACTTTCACCCCCTCATCCTTGCTCACATCCCGCCCTTGCCTGCCCTGCCCCAGGCCACCATCTGCAGCCTTTCTCCTCATTTCACTTCTGTCCTTGGCCAATCACAGTGCCAAGCATAGATGGAGATGAGCTCAGAGCAGCTCAGAGCTCCTGGCCCACAGCACTCCCTGCCCTGGGACAGCTTGTTTCCTAGGCATACATGTCAGAAAGACATATGGAAGGATGCACTCCAGACTCACAAAAATAGTAGACCTGAGGGAGTGGAAGGGAACAGACTGTACTTTGTACACTATGTACTTCTGAGTCTTTATTAGAAGAAACTGCTGTTTTGTCACTAAAAGCATTTTTTATATTAACCTGAGTAAAAGGTACATGATTATTCTTTGTCCTGTTCCTTTTTTTTTTTTCTGGTACCAGGGGTCGAACTCAGGACCTTATGTTTTTGAGGCAGGCACTGTGCCACTGCACTAAAACCCCAGCCTCCCTCATCCTACTCTTTTTTTTCCCTCATCCTATTCTTCATCTTTTTTTGGGGGGGGGTGGTACCAGGGATTGAACTCGGGTCCTTCTGCTTGCAAGGCAGGTGGTGGAACCACTGAGCTCAATCCCTCACTCCTCCTATTCTTAATCTTGAAATTTAACAGGAAATTTGAAGTTATTTTCAAATGCAAAGTTAAAACCACTAAAAAGGACTGAGGGTATACAGTACTTGCCTGGCAAGCGTGAGGCCCTGGGATTGATCCATAGTAACACACACACATACACACATTCACACACTCACTACTGAAAAGATAAAATGAGAGAAGAGAAATAAAGGGACTAAGTTTTTACAGAGGCTGAGTAATGCTTTCATAGATACAGACATCTTTCAAAGCCTCTTTCATATACCTTGGGCGTTTATAATAAAATAGTCATCTCTATAATGATACTTATTGTAAATTTAGAAAATAAAAATGTTGGGGCCAGGGATGAAGCTCAGTTGTGCTATGCCTGCCTGCCAAGCCCAAGGTCCTGAGTTCAATTCCCAGTACTGAAAAAAATTAATTAATTAATTAAAATAAAATGACAATGTTGACAGGGAGACCTGGTCTCAAAAAAAACCCCAATAAAAAATGAAATTAAATTTAAAAATCTGTAAATGTTAGCTGGGTGTGTTGGCACACATCAGTAATCCCATCTCTGTGAGAGGCTGAGGCAGGAGGATCACAAGTTCAAAACATTCTGGGGCTGGGACTTAGCACAGTGGCACCGTGCCTGTCTTGCAAGCACAAAGTCTTGAGTTCGATCCCCGGTAGTGGAAAAAAAAAAAGCAGTCTGGGCAATGCAGCAACTTAGTGAGACACTGTCTCAAAATTTAAAAAAAAACATTTAAAAATGGCTGGGGATGGAGCCAGTTCCACAAAACAAAACACACGGGACAGGCTGCGGGTGTCTGTGGCGGGACCACATGGCCACTGCTTAGCGGAGCCTTCATCCTCTGATGACCTGGAGGGGCCCTGAGCTTGGCTGCCTTAGTAATCGTGGCTGTCAGCACAAGCGTCTCAGAAGGAGAATGTGTTCAACAGAGGCCTCTCCTCCCGTCTGTGCCTTCTCACTTCTGGGGACTTCCCAGCAGGGGGACAGCCCATCCCTGGACTCAGGCACGGATCTGCCCAGTCTCCCAGCATTCCGGGGGGGGACAGGAACCAGGGACAGGGACCCCTGCCTTCGAGACCTGTGGCCTCTCGGGGGAGGCGCTAGGATTGGCAGGAAGATGGAGTCCCCAGAGAAGCACATGGAGGCCACAGGAATGGCAGGAAGGAGAGCAGCGATGTCAGGAAGAGCACAGCCCTCCACAGAGGCGCGGGCAAGGAGACTGTGCCAAGGGCAGACGGGTGAGGGGAGCCGCCGAAGGCTTCTGGCAGGGGTGGCATGGCCTGCGTTCTAGCAAGATCTCTCTTGGGCAGGAGAAGGAGGCACGGGAGGAGGGAGGCAGCAAGGAGCTGTGGACGTCCAGGACAGGGCACGCTGGCAGCGGGAGGCCTGCAGGTTGTACCCGCGCAGTTACGGCGGCTCCAGCAGGGCCAATGGACAGCACACACTACTGTGCAACCCCATGGACACGCACAGCCTGACCCACGTCAGCACAGACCAGAGGGCAGTCTACAAAGCTGGCCAGCTGTCTGCAGGAGCATTCAGGGAGAGGCCAAGAAAAGACTGAGAGCCGGGCATGGTGGTGCACACCTGTAACTCCAGCACTCGGGAGGCTGAGGCAGGAGGATCACTGTGAGTTCCAGGCCCATCTGGCCTACATAGGAGACCACGTCTCAAAAAGCCAAACAAACAAAAAGACAAAAGAAAAGACTGAGAACTGCCCTAGAAGGAGGAGGCTAAAAAGACAATGCAGTGTAACCTGTGCCCCTGAGCTCAACCTTGGACAAGGAAAAGTAAGTATTTTGGCACAATTGACAAAATTTAAAAGCGGATTAGGTGACAATTTTAGATTGATTTTTTTCCTCATTTTGATAATGGAACTGTAATTATGTAGTAGTGCCCTTAGGAAATGTATAGGAAGTATTTAATAGTTGAGAGTACAGTGTCTCTAACTTATTCTCAAATAGTTTTATACATACACTATATAAAATTATATAAATATATATATACAAATCAGAGACAAAGGAGAGAGGTATTTATATATACCCATAAAGAATAAACTATAAAGCAATAATTATTTTAACAGTAAACCATAAGTGAAATCTAAAAAAAAGATATACAGAAATTGCTTATACTCATATGGCAAATTTTCTATAAATTTGAAATTTTATTGAAGTAAAGGATGATCTTCCTCAAAATATTAAATAGAGTTACCATGTTACACAGGTATGTAGCCAAAAGAAATGAAAACACGTCTACAAAAAAAACTCATGTAGAAATGTTTACATCAGCCTTATTTACAATAGCCAAAAAGTTGAAACAACCCCAATGATCATTAACTGAAGAATAAAAAAAATGATGTGTGGTATCCATACAATGGAATATTATTCAGCAATCAAAAGGAACGAAATACTGATTTTGATGGGCTATGAAAGGAATGAGCCATGGAAATATTATTCTAAGTTAAAGAAGCCTGACCCTAAGGACCATGGATTGCATGATTGCATTTGTAGGAAATGTCTAGAATACGAACACTCAGAGACAGAAAGTAAATTCATGGCTGTCAGGGGATGGGACACTGGGGAGTGGCTAGTTTTGGGGTGATGAAAATGTCCTAAAATATTGGGACGGTGGCTTCCCAAGTTCACAGGTAGACTAGAAGCCATTGGATTGTACATTTCAAATGAGTGAATTATTTGGAATGTGAATTATATTGCAATAAAAGAGACTGATACTGGGACTGGGGGCACATGCCCATAACCCCGGCAGTCCAAGAGGCTGAGGCAGGAGGATCACAAGTTCCAGCCCAGTTTGGACAAGCTTAGACACGTAGCAAGCCCCGCTTCAAATTTAAAAATTTAAAAAGGGCTGGGAATGTAGCTCAGTGCGTGCAGTTCTCAGCGAGCAGGGAGCCCCCACCTCTGGCCAGCGTGGTCATTCACCCGCGACTCCCAGGGGCACAGGGGCTGCCTGTCTCGCTCCCTTCTGACCACTGATGCCCTCTGCCCCGTGTCCATCCCGCCGAGCGAGGTCCCCTTGGGTCCCCTGAGTCCCCACGCTGCAGCCAAGCCGCCCCAGCCGGGTCTCCACCCCGCTCACCTCCGGCTGAAAGCTGGGTCCATGACTTTCCGCTGCTTGTGCCACCGTTCGTAGTCGCATTCGGACACCAAGCCCTGGCCAAACAGCCTGCGGGAGACAGAGAGGTCATGAGAGACAGGAGGTAGGGAACTGGGGTCCCCGTGGGGGTGACAGGCCCTGCCATGGGGAGTGTCACATTAGGGCGGTGGCACCACCATAAAAACAGACGTACACAGCCCTGAACCACCGTGGGCTGCCCTGCAGGCGTGTGCAGCTTCAGGGTCCATTAACAGCAGCTAAGTGAGAGGTAGGGTGGTCTGTGCCCCAAACTCAGCAGCCCCACTCCGCTGCCCCCCAGGGGCGGGAGCAGGAGAGCGCTGAGGTCAACAGCAGGGTCACCCCGCAAGGTCGCCCGTCCCATGCTGCCCCCTCCCAGGCCTCACCTCTCCCCGAACACGGTCTGGAGGGCACGGTACATCTTGGAGTCCTTGTTGTACTTGGTTGACATCAGGAACTTCTGGACATCCCCAAAAGACAACATGAGCTCAGGGGCCCACGAGAGTCCGCGCAGGACACCCGCAAAAGGCGCCTCGGAGCTGCTGCACCCGGGCCTGAAGGCGACACATGTTGGGGGGGCGGGGGCAGGAGGCCGGAGTTCAAGCCGGGCCTCCCTTCGGGGATGAGGAAAAGGGGCCCGGACCCAGATGATTTGCTGATGGCTCCACAGCTCCAGGGCTGTTGGGACACGGGAGAGACCCACGTGGGCCCCGCGTTCTGAGTCCCGGAAGCTGCAGAGGTCAACAGAGACTTCAGGAATCGGCTCCCCTGCGCCCCACTTGCTAACTGTGCTCCCTGGTGAGTCAGGCTCCTCCCCACCCTTCGAGGTCCTTGTCTGACCAGCGGGGACAAGGAGAGTGTCGGCCTGCCCGGCTGCGGTGACGGTTGAATTCGTTCTTCCTGAAGAGCCTGGCACACAGCAGGTGCTCAGTAAATGCCACGTGCATGGCGCCTTGCATGAGCTCATGCAGTACCCAGGCGACCCTGACACACGCGGGCTATCCTTATGCATGCAGGAAAAAGATTTTGACTGGTCCCAAGCTGGTCACACTTGTGAGGACACAGGATTCTGATGGGGAAGGGGAGGAGCCTGTGGTGCAGGCCGAGGGACACTGGGGCCCGTGGGATGCTGCACTTGGTCCTGGGACCCCGGGAGGCAGTCAGAGGACTCCTCTGCCACAAGCCAGGGCTGCCTGCTTCGGTGAGTTTCGCTCCTGGTGTCTGACATTGGCTTTTCAGCCGACTTTGCATCACTAGCGCCATCTGAGCTGTCCCCAGACACTGTCATTTGCAAGCCAGTCCCACCAGGAGCAAGGCCACAGCAGCCAGAGGCCACCTCCAGCTCCCAAGCCATCTGAGCCCTATGCAGCCCGTCCTAACTGAATGAAAGAGCAGTGTCCCCGGGGCCTGCCATCCTGGGGCTGGGATGCTGTGGAGCTTTGGGATGAAGGACACACTGGGGACCAGCAGCTCTTGCCCCCTCTCTGGTCACCCACACTGACGCCTCTCTTCCACCCACCCACAGGGCCGTCCTGGCCAAGGACTTCCCCCCTGCCATCCACAGCCGGAAAATGGGGCAAGACACCATTTTTGGACAAGCAGTGGAGAACTGTGAACCAAAAGGAGGAGAAATTTTTTAAAAAGGCACAGAGTGTGACCAAGGTTAGCCCAGTTTTCCACCTAGAGGCAATTCCAGGACAGGGTCTCGCACAGAGAGACCCAGATACAGCCCAGCGGCATGGCTAGTTGAACACAGAGATTGGAGCTCAGGCCGGCGAGGGAGGCTGGGGCTGTGCGGAGAAAAGGGGTTCCTGCAGCAGGGGCTGAGTGCTCATCGGTGCACACCTTGGGGTGGCACCATCGGCAGAGCAAGAGGACTTTGAGGGAGAGGAAAATTACTGGGCAACTACAGGCTGAACACTTCTCACATCACACTAGGCCAAGACCTGCTCACATTCCCACGGGGCAGAGGACACAGTCTTCAGGTACAAAGCCCCCGGCAGAGGCCCCTGCAGGCCACTCCTTAGTGGGGACAAACTAGCGCTGCAATAAAGTCTCCTCTAGACCCACCCGGGAAGAGTCTGGGAGCAAACGTGGGAAGGGTCACACTGCTCTGCTGGCCACTTCACCACTCTTAAGATGAAGGCCAAAGCTCTTTAAAGGAATACAACAAAACAATTTATTTTTAACTTTTGAGATGGGGTCCTCACTACATTGCCCAGGCTGGCCTTGAACTCCTGGGCTCAACTGACCTCCCACCCTGCCCTCCCGAGTAGCTGGGACCATAGATGCTCAATACCACACCCAGCCCTTAAAGCAATTTAATGTCCAATAGTGTAAACTTTCCAATGCCCAGTATCCAACAACAAGAACAAAATCACTAGCTGGGCTAAAATGGAAAATCTGACTTATAATTAGGCTTAGAAATAATAAATATGATAGACTTGGAGTACAAATTTTCATATACCTGCTACAAATGTTATAAATGTGTTCAAGGAACCCACATACCTAAGAAGTTCCAAGACTCACAAATAAAATTAACAGAAAGAGAAGCACCCTGAGGCAGAGTATAATTCAACTGCTGAAACCAGTGATAAAGAGGAAATCATAAGAGTGGAGAGAAATGGAACAGTATAATGTTGTTGTTTGAAGGTAGATTAAAGATGATATTATAGACCATAGGACAAAGGGAGTGGAATGGAGGGAGGGGGAGAGAGAGGCAGAGACAGAGACAGCGAAATGGGAGCTAATAAGCCAGCAGGAGGGAGGTAAAACAGAAGGCTAAACAATACTTAATCCAAAAGACAGTAAGAAGCCAGCAGTGGTGGCACAGGCCTCTAATCCCATGACTCTAGCAGGCTGAGGCAAGAGGGTGGCAAGTTCAAGTCCTACCTGGGCTACTTAGCAACTTAGTGAGATCCTGCAACAAATTGCAAAAATGAGCTGGGGATGTAGCTCAATGGGAAGGCCCTAGGTTCAATGCCCAGCGAGTGAAGAAGGAGGAGGAGGAGAGGAAGAAGAAGGGAGAGGGGGAGAGAGAAGGGGAAGAGAAAGAGAGGGAGAGAGAAGAAAGGAGAACAAGAAACAAATAACAGATAGGACATGGTACAGTTAAGTCCCCAACTTATGAATGAGTTCCATTCTGGGAGAACTCTAAGTAGTGACTCTTATATAGTACACCTGTGAAAGTTCACAACTCAAATATTCATAAGTCAAGGACTCACTGTAGATTTAGACCCACCTGTAAAATAACCACATTAAATGTAAATGACTGCCTAAGCAGAGACTGAAAGGCAGAGACTCTCAGACTGCTTAAAACAGCAAGACCCAACTATATGCTATCTATAAGAAACCTACCTTAAATATAAAAACACAGGAAGGCTAGAAGTAAAATGATAAAGCTGGGGTGGCTGTATTAAAGGAGAGAAAATGTACTTTGGGGCAAAGAATGTCACAAAAAATGAAGAGGGACGTTCCTGAGGACAAAAGTGTGGATTAGTCACAGAGACCCAGCAATCCCAAGTGAAAGAGACCCTAACAACAGAACTCCAAACTACAGGACATATACAATAGACAGAAGCCAAAGTAGGAACAGACAGACCCATGACTTTGGTTGTAGAGGCCAGCACTGCACACCTAGTAATTGCTAGAATAAGTAGAAAAAAATTAGTAAGGATTTAGAGATTTGAATAACATTACTGATCAAAGTGACCTAACCAACAAATTCTCTAAAATTATAGTTATAGTTAAGGGTTTATGAACATCAAAATGGGCCATTCCCTCTACCATAAAGCTTCAATTAATTTAAAAGGATTAGAGTCATGATAAGTATTTTCTTTGATTTAAATTTGAAATCAGAATTAAATTTGAAACAGAATTAAATTTGAAATCAATAACAAAGATCTCTAGGCTATTTAATCATATTTAGAAATTGAAAAACATTTATCTAGGGCCTGGGATTTAGCTCAGTGGTTTTGCCACCTGCTGCGCAAGCGCAAGGACCTGAGTTCGATCCCCGGTACCAAAAAAAAAAAAAAAAATAGCACAAGAACAAATTAAACCCAAAGTAAACAGAGGAAGAAATTATAAAAGGCAGGAATAAAGTATAAAAGAGGCAAACAATGGACAAAACGAATAAAACCAAAAGCTCAATCTTGAAAAAAATGAATAAAAACATATAAACAACTCACTAGAGTGACTAAGAAATAAAAGACTTTGGGTGTAGTCGAGTATAACTGCAATCTCAGCTATTGAAGAGACTGAGGCAGGAAGGATGAGGCCAGCCTGGGTGAATTACTGAGACTGTGTCTCAAAATAAAATAAAATAAGGGTTGGTACGTAGCTCAGTGGTAGAGCAGACGCTTAGCATGCTCAAGATCCTGGCTTTAATCCCTAGCAAAGAAAGAAAGAGAAAGAGAGAGGGGGAGGGAGGAGGGAGAGAGGGAGGGAAGAAAGGAAGGAAGGAAGGAAGGAAGGAAGGAAGGAAGGAAGGAAATAACTGTTCTCAGAAATGGACAAGAGAACATCACTACAGATCCTATAGACATTAAAGAGATAAGTAAATATTGGGCTGTGGATTTAGCTCAGTGGTGCCACACCTGTCTGTAAAGCACAGGTCCTGAGTTCAATTCCCAGTACCAGAAAAAAACAAATTGAAGGTGTAACTTAAAAAATAAACAGAACTTCTCTCAAAGAAAAGTTCAGGCCCACATGGCCTCCCTGGTGAATTCTATCAAAAATTAAAGAAAGAAAGAACACTATTCCTACACAAATTCTTTTTTTTTTTTTTTTGGTACCGGGGATCGAACTCGGGACCTTGTGTACTTGAGAGTCAGGTGCCGGAACCACTGAGCTAAATCCCCGGCCACCTACACAAATTCTTACAGAAAGCAGAAGAAGAAGCCACATGTCCCAACCTATCTTATGAGGTCCAAATTAACCCAATACCAAAACCTGACAAAGGGGCTGGGGGTGGCTCAGTGGTAGAGTGGCTTAGTCTGTGCAAGGCCCTGGGTTCTAACCCTACCACCCTCCAAAATTATAATGCTGGGTGTAGTGGCACACACCTGTAATCCCAGCACTTGGGAGGCTGAGGCAGGAAGATTGCCGTGAGTTCAAGGCCAGCCTGGGCTACATGGTGAGACCCTACCTCAAAAAACAAAACAAAAATAACTATAATAACACCTGACAAGGCATCGCAAGGAAAAAAATAAAGGACACAAACCCTTACCAAACTATCAGCCAAGTGAATCCAGCAGTATATAGAAAGGTGACAGTAAGCGTTCAGAAGAGCAAGTTTGGTTTAACACTGGACTATCAGCGTGACCCACCACATTAATACGTATCTCTAGCTCCCTTTCTCATTAAGCGTCATGAGAGTCTTTGAGCGTGTGCTCTGGTAGCATGCTTCAAAGCTCGGTGTCTGTGAAATTGAACTTTCCTAAAGAATGATTCGTGACATTGTGTTGGTGACACACAAGCTGTTTGGGCTCTGTCCTGAGGTGCACCCGGCGTTGCACTCTGGGGCATGGGATGAAGTTGTCTTCTCCCCTCTTGGTGTTGCCAGCACGCCACCCCCGCTGTGGCAGTGACGGCTCCAGGGCTCCCATACACCACTGGGCTTCCATCCTCAGAGCCCCTATAAGAGGGCCTCCTGCCCTCTCACAGGTGAGGAAGCTGAGGCCCAGCAGGATGGCATGACTCATCCAGCCACACAGCCAGTCGGTGACAGAGTCTGGACTGGAGCTGGCTTCTGCCCACCCCAGAGCGGATGGGAGGCGCCCCTCCTGGGGACCCAGGCGGCACACCTTCTGGATCAACGCCCCCTGCCTCGGCTTCCTCATCCCTGAATGGGGACTAACAAGGGCCCCCATGCTTCCAAAGGTTAGTTAACAGTAGTGGAGCTCTTAGCAAAGTACACGCTTGTAGTGAGCACTGTTTAAGCATCTTAAGGGACTTTGTGCCAGGCGTGGTGGCGCACGCCTATTAGCCCAGCACTCAGGAGGCTGAGGCAGGAGGATCAGCAAGGCCAGCCTGGGCTACACAATGGGACTCTGCCTCCAAAAAGAGATACTTTGTGTAATAAACACCCCTGTATTTAATTCTCAGAACCGGAAGAGCCATTCCGTCTCACAGATGGTGGGGCTCAGCCCAAGGCAGGTAAAATAACTAAATGCATGTGAGCAGTGGGCTGCCCAAGCAGGGACAGCAAAGTTCCACCCCACTCCCCACATCAAATGCCCCTGCTGGGAGGAGAGAAAGATGGTGCCCCCTTCTGCACCCCTGGGAGATGGGCCCGATGTGCCTGGCTCTGGAACACTCCTCACAGTCCCGGGAACCAAAGGAGGGGCCTCAAGTGGAAACCGCGAGGCTCCTACCTTGACAGACTCCGGGCTCGTGACGATGACGGAGGTTTTGTGGAAGACATTGACGCGCACCACAGGCCCGTACTTCTTAGCCCTGGAAACCGAGGTTGATGGGAAGGGTGTCAGTGATGGAGAGCAGCACCTGTCAGCCCGGCCGAAGGAGGACCCGGGCAACGAGAGGACCAAGCTCTGAGCCACACCCTCCCCAGCCTCTGATCGCCCCGAGTATCCTGGGATTGAAACAATATCAGTCCTTGGAAGTGTGTTGAAAAGTGTAAACTGCCACCCTAAACTACAACTTCAATTTAGGGACCCCCTTTGCCCAGTTTACAGACTGGGAAACTGAGGCTCAGAGAGCTTCCGACAGCTGCTCTGGGGTCCCTTGGTTGGTGAGTCAGGTCGTGGCTTCCGCCCGCCCCTTCTGCCTCTCCACTCTGGGCAGGGACCAGGCTGGGGTGTGACACACAGGCTGGGTGCTGGATTGGGTGGGTGAGCTCCGTGGGCCCAGGGAGGGGACAAGTGACAAGGTGGAACCTACCACTCCAAAAACACATCCTGGAGCACTCGGCCACAGGCCTCATCCTTCTTCCAAAAGTAGGGGAGGTGTCCTAGAAGGAAACTGGAAGAAACAGCAAACCTGAGGCTCCCGGCAGCCACCAGGTGAGCACCCTGCCCCACAGGGCCACACTGGCCGGGTCACAGACAGGACTGCAGCACAGGGGCTAGAGGCACTGGCCTGGGGTCACTGGGCGGCAATGCAGATCGCATGCAGGACCCAGGTCTGCCTGGCACCACAGCCTCCTGGGAGAGGAGACACCGTCCCCCGTCCCTGGGACCGGAGGTCTGAGTGGCCACAGGAAACACCAGTGATGTCGTGTAGAACCCCCTGAGCTCCGTGGCACAGGTCATGACCCGGATTTGGGCTGGAGCAGCTGCAGAGGTGCTATCGTCAGCCCCAACTGCTGCCAATGCTGCCTCACCAGGGGACAGCTTTGTCAGCAGGTGTGATCGCCAGGCTCTCAGCAGGCCCCTGGGGGGCACCCTGAAGCACCTTCCAAGGTGCCCGTGACTTCCTGTCTCCTCTAGGGTGTTATTCCAACCGTGCTCAGCACAGCATCCTGAATGCTGACAACGAAACTGCAGTGGGAGCTTTCTGGGTCACAGCAATCAGATTCTCCCGGGGAGAGGTGGGGAGTGAAAAAGTAAGCAAGCAAATAAATACAATGCCAGAGAGAAAAACAAACAGAGTGCTGGCAGAAGTGCAGGGACAGTCATTTGGTACACAGGGGACATCCCTCAAAGAAAGCAACCTATGAGCCGAGACTTGTCGGCAGGGTGGGCTCTGGGGGAGGAGCACTGCAGGCTATGGGAATAGCACATGCAAAAGCCCTAAGGTAGCCTGTGCTCAGACAGTGAGCAGGCCCCGTGTGGGTACCAAGGCTGGGTGCAGGATCATGGAGGGCACTGGGGGCTGCTGTCCAGACTTCTGCTTTGACTTCTGGGAGGTGGGCATTGCCGAAGGGTTTTGAGCACAGCAGGAAGGGATGTGCTGCTGGCTTGGGCAAGGGGCACAGAGGTGTCAAGGACAACTGTGGGGCTTGGGCCCTGGCGGCCATGCACTGCAATCACAAGGACCCAAGAGGAGCTGGTTGGGCAGAGGACGCCGCTGTGTCCAGCTGTGCAGTTCTGCCAGGCTCTGGCTCTGCCCAAAGGGGACACAGGCCGGAAGTTCCAGAAGCAGCCGGCACCCACGGCCCAGCTCCCTCGCCTGTGCTGGGGAAGCTCTGTGCATGTGCTCTACGCTGGCCCCCAAGGCTGCCAGGACAACCATGCCTCGGTTTCCCCAAAGGTAACTTCCTCTTCTGGCTTTCTTACTTTCTTTGTCCACCCATTCCCACCCTCGCGCACCCCTAAACTTCTTACACCTCATTTCTTTCTCAGGATTGACTTTGAGAGGAAGAGCCAGGCACAAGCAGATGAAACCAGGCACTGGAGTTTGGACCCGGTGGGTCTGCAGATGCCATGCAGCAACAGGAAGTCAGGGTGTAGGGGAAGTGAGCTTCGAGTCCTCTGCAGACAGGTGGCCTTGGTAATGCGGTGGAGGGCGAGGCCACAGGGATGGGGAGACAGACCAGCACAGGCAGAAAAGGACAGGTCAGGCAGCCAAGGAGCAGGCCTGCAGGGGCTGCTGGAGAAGGAAGCCAGGCGGAAGCAAGACCCAGACTCAGCTCTGCCAGCCGAGAGATGAAGGTGAGGCCAGAAGTTGGGTTTGGCCACGTGGAGGTCACTGGGGACCTGCAGTGGAGCAGGCTCAATGGAGAGGCAGGAGTCGACCTGGAGGGGAGTGGGTTCAAGAGAGAGTGGAGAAGGGGCCGGGGATGTAGCTCAGTGGTTCTGGTGCCTGCCTCGCAAGCGCAAGGACCCGAGTTTGATCCCCGGTACCAAAAAAAAAAAAAGAGAGAGAGAGAGGGGACAAGAGGACTGGAGGCCCAGGGACAGGGGCTGCGGGGGCTGCCGGAGGGCAAGAAGGGGGGAGAAGGCCCAAGAGACAGGAAAGGAACCCCTGCAGCGTTCTATAAAAATGGGAGAGATGCAGAAAAGAAGGTGGATTGAGGGCACACGTGGGGCTGGGGAAGACGGGCAGGCAAGGTCGCCAAGGCCCCAGCACCTTCCTGCAAGAGCAGCAGAAGGCAGTGTGGCACAGCGTGGTGGGGGAGCTCTCCCCGGGCGCTCCCTCGCTCAGGGAAGGAGGAGGCAAGGATAAAAACTGAGCAGGTGATGGACAGGAGAGGAGGGCACGGAAGAGAAGGCGGGAAGACATGACGAGCCCTGGCCATCATGCTCAGAATTAGCTGGCACACACAGTGTCGGTCCCCACAGCTACGCATCTGAGTGAGGCTGGACCTGGCTCCTCCCCTAGGCCTGGCTGACCCCAAAGCCTCCACCCTGACTGCTGGGGTCCACGGCCACCTGGGAAGGAGGATGAAGGCCACTGCCAGGAAGCAGGGGACAGGGGTGGGGTCGGATGGGATGGGGGCCTCCACTGCCAGGCAAGAAAGGGAACTAAGAACCATTCCTTCCGGTTCCTGCAGGGGGCTCTAGTGAGAAGATGGGGGTGCTAGAAATAAGCAGGTAAGGCTGGGTGGAACTTGTAGCTCAGCACTGGGCACAGACAGAGCCCACTTGTTAGGTCTGGGAAACAGACTGGACATGGCAGGGAGGACAGTCCAGGGAGGGAGGGCAGAGCAGAGATTTGGCCTGCCTGGCACTCCAGCACACTCCTCTTCCCTAATGCTGCGCTGGGCCAGCCTGGAACCCAGAGTGTCCTACGGGAAGAGAAAGTCTTGGGCAGTGACCACAGCAGAAGGCACCTGGAGGGTCCACTGCAAGGCCACCCAGCGGGAGAAGGCGCCTGCACAATGGCTGAAGCCTGGGCCACCCATTAGCAGTAAGAATAAGGGTGAGGGCTACACTGCACAGGCCAGGGACTGGATCCCCCAGCCAACAGAGCCTGCAGTGTCCCCACCCAGGGCTGGAACCAGCCTGGTCCTTGCTGAGAGGCCCCATCCTGGGCAACCTGGCGAGTTGGAGAGGGAGGAGGACCAGCACTGTCCAGGAGTCAAAGGCAAAAAAATTATTCCAAGATGAACAAAAACGAGGAGAGCTATTTCCTAGTCAAGCTAACCCCCAGTGCACGGACCAGGACAGCAGAGACTGCTGAGGAATTTCAGAGCGGTGTCAGAGAAACGAAGACACAAGGAGGGTTTATGTGAGGCACAAATGTGGGGTCTCGGGCAGCAGGAGGTTTTAATAAGAACAGAGGGAAGGGACACTCAAGGAGGGGGTCCTGGAGGAGGCCTCCTGCAGAACACAGAGGCTGAAACACCAAGGGACAAACACCACAGGGACTCAATACTCAGCTCTCTTGTCAGCCTCAGGGTTGCTAATCATGGTTTGAACATCCAAGCTGTTAATGCCAAAGCAGCCGCTTTGTGCTAGAAGAGGTTCCAGCACTTTCCTTTGGTTCGGCTTGATATTTGACCACCAACCAAGTTTTAATCCAAAGTCTTTTTACATATTCATTGCTCAGTCCACCTCCCTAGAATACAGAGCCCAACTGTGATTATAATCAGCCTCCTCCCACTCCTCCACCCACTCCCACAAACCAGGAGGTCACAGGCAGACTCTGTGGAATAGAAATGGGGAGATTTCAGCTATGGGAAGGGAAATACGGACACACACTACTGCACGGACAAGCCCTGAAGGTATTACGCTAAGTGAAAGGAGCCAGACACAAATGGCTAGATAAGGTGTGATTCCATTTCTACAAGATGTCCAGAGGACAGGAGGCAGGCCCAGTGATGGGACGGGGATGAGTTCTCAAGCTCTGGGGTGTGGGATGAGCAGAGGTGGCCAGTGGGTCTGAGTTTCCTCTTAGAATGATGGAAACCTTCTGGAATTTGCAGTCATGGTTGTATAACTTAGTGACTCTACAAAAACCCATGGAATTGGACACGTTAAAAGGTAAATTTTCCAGAATGCAAGTTATACTTCAACTTTTTAGAAAAGATGTAGGGAGGGCTGGGGACTAAGCTCAGTGGTTCTGGTGCCTGCCAAGCAAGCACCAAGTCCCGAGTTTGAGCCCTGGTACCAAAAAAAAGAACAACAGAAAAGATGTAGGGAAAGGGGATTGATGTGGTTTCTGTCTTTTTCAGACACAGACCTGACTGAATCTCCAATCCTGGAAGCAACTGGGTTTATGAGTAGGCCAAGGAAGGATGAGACTCATAAGAAAAGCACTGAAACCAGGGAGGGTGAGCATGTCCCTGGTGGAGCCCCTGGGAAATTTCCACCATGCAGCCCCAAGTCAGGGTGCTTTGGATGTCTGCTTTGGGTGCATGGCCCTGTCGCTGCAGTGCTAGAGGTCAAGGATACAGCACTGGACGAGACAGACACAGGGCCCATGGGAGAGACAGACACTTAACAAAAGGTTGCACAAATAATTACCCAATTACCATCATGCCGTGAAGGAAAACTAACTCGCTGACTTAGAGGCTTATACAACTAATATAATGTATCCAGGGCCCGAGCAGGGGGACTGGAAGGGCCACCTAGGCACAGAGCCAAGCAGGGTTTCTAAGCAAGGTACAAGGAGTCCTGGGCTGACCCCAAGGCGGGCGAGGTCCCAGGGAGAACTGTTGCCTTCCAGAGCACTCCCCATGGGATCATCATTGACCCCCCAACAGAAATCCCAGCATCTAATGTCAGCACATCTGGCTTGGGCTGGAAATGGACACCTTCCAGAATGTTCATGACTGAGGTTTTACAAAGCGTGTCTAACACATCATTTATTCACTCGTTCAACAGATATTTATTGAGTAGCTGCAACATGCCAGGCGCTGGGGGTACATGAGCCAATGACACAGTGTCCCTGCCCTCCGGGGCTCACATTCTAAAGCAGAGGACACAGTCCACAGGTGGGCAGAGGGTGACTTCAGGGTGACTGCCCCAGAGAAGCATGGGGCTGGGAGGCTGGGGAAGCCCTTTGAACGTGAGCAGAGGATGAAGCCTCCATTCCTGGGGTTGAGAAAGGCTGCCCAGGGGTGGAGGGGCAGAGGAAGGAGGGGGATCCTACAGGTCCACCTGGGCCCTGAGACTCAGCAGGGGCCTTGCTGGCCCTGCCGTGGACTTAATTTGGAACTGGGTTTCCCAGCTCCAAAGTGACAGGAAGCCCTCGCTCGGGGACCCGGAGGCCACATCTACTCTAAGCCGGAAGGGGCTCTGGATGGGGGCCAAACACGGACTAGGAGTACTGAGGCGACACATGGGACATCCCGGGACAGACACGCGACAGACCCACGGGAATGTGACGCAGCAATGCGCGCTGTACTCTGACAGGCTGGTCCTGTCCGCGTCCCGAAGTTAAGAACACCCGCGCCGAGTCAGGTTGACCCGGGTAGGAATCCGGGCTCCCCGACCGCGTGACCTTGGCCGGCGACTCCGCTCCGCGCCTCAGTCTCCCGGTCTGAACGATGGGGTGACAATCGCGCCTACCTGACAGGCTGTCGCTGTCGTCGCGGCTGCGGGGCCCAGCCCGGCAGCTGCGGCCGGCGGCGGTGAGTAATCGCTGCTAAGAATAATGAGCGCCCCCGCCCGGCCCGGCCCGGCGCCCCGCCGGCCCCCGCCCCGCCCCCGCTCACCTGGGCCGCGGCGGCCCGGGGATGTGCTCGTAGCGGCTGCGAGCGCGGTGCACGAAGGTGCAGCAGAGGCCGAAGGCGAGCAGGACGGCGCTGCCGAGCAGCAGCAGCCCGGGGCTCATGGCTCCGGGCCGGGCCAGGCCGGGGGCAGCGCCGGGAGCCGAGGGGGCGGGAGGCCGCGAGCCGACTCCGCTGTCAGCGCCGAGCGCCGCCTGGGCCCCAGGCCCCGCGCAGCCCAGCACCGCCCCCGCCCGCTCGGCTCCGCCCCCGCCAGCTCGACCCCTCCCCGGCCGCGCGGTCCCCGCCAACCACGTGTCCGCCTCCCGCTCCTGCGCTAAGGACCCGGCCCCACTCAGCCCCGCCCCTGCCAAGCTCCGCCCTACCCTCCATCTGGACCCCGCCCGGATAGAGTGGTTTCCGCCAATCACAACTTGGCTTCTGGCCCAGGCCCCGCCCCCGCCCGCCTCTCTCTGGCTCAGGCTCCGCCCCCACACCAACGCCCAGAACGCGTTGTCCCTGGCAACCCTGAGTCCCGGTCCCATGCTGCGGGGCGGCACACCGAGTCCTGCCTGCTGGCTCCGCCCCTTTGGCGCCTCTAAACAACGGCGAATCCCCGCGCGCGGTCCTAGGCTCCTTCCTTTCACACAGCCCGGCCCTCAGATTCCAGGTTACGCCCGCTTTCCCAGGTCTCTCCCAGGAGCCCTGGATCCTCCACAGCGGGGACCGAGGCGCCTCCTCCGCCAGCTGGTCTGCGCCGCTCCGAGGGGCCCACGCGCGGGTGACGAGAACCCCGCCGCACACGGGGGCCTGAGCTCGAGGACGAAAGCGCGCTCTGGCCGCCGGAGCCCCCCGACCGGGGCAGCCCAGGCCCGAGGTGTGGACCCGGGTCCGGCGCAGCTGAGGCTGGAGGGGTAAAGCCTAGGCAGCGAGGGCCGCCCCCAGGGAAGCGACGAGGGTGCCCCGAAACAGCCAGGCTTCTCTCCGGGTTGCAACCTGCGTCTCCCCCCGGGTGACGGAGAGGCCAACTCGGGACTTGGGCTTCCCGACTCCTGTCCCCAGGGAGGCACCGGAGGGACAGCGGCGGACCCCGCCGGGCAGGTCCTGCAGCCGGGCGTCCGTCTCCGCGAGGGCACCTGGACCCCGGGACGCCGGCTCGCCACAGCGCCCCCGTGTGGCGCGAGAGGCAGCCGCAGGCGCGCCCTGAGAAGGCTGGCGAGGTCACAGGGTCCTGGGGCTTGGGGCGATTCAGACGGAGGGTGAGGCTACCAGGAGGAAAGCACAGATCTTGCGTGATCTCAGGTGAGGTGAGGTGATCGGCTAGACAGGAGTGACGCGACCGCGGCTAGTACTCAGTTAATCCGTGGGTACTGTGTGGAGCCCCCTTTGCGCGGCTTTGTCTCCTGGGCCCTTGGGGGCAGGACCAGGTCCTGAACAGCTCTGGGGCCCGCGGGATGCGACCACGGAGCAGCATCCTGTCCAGCAAGGGCTTAGGAGAGGGGTGAGCATTAACATTCACGGGCGCACCAGGCGTGACCACGGCTCACCCCAACACTTCTGTCCAGAGCGGCCTGTCCCCGCCCGGGCGAGTCCCCAGTGCCACATCCATTCTGTCCTAGAGCTCTCCCACTTGATGCTCCCAGTGAGCTGTGCTCAATGGGGGGGGGGGGGGGGCAGGCTGCACTGCGAGGCCCCGGCCCTGGCTGAGGGCCCACTTCCTGGGCCGACAGCACCCAGCCGCCAGCAGAGGGCGCTCCCCGGAGGCACGGTGCCCATCCCTGGCAAGGTGTCTAAGGCCATCCCACACGGTAGCCACTGACCACATGCGGCCACTGAGCACTTGAAAAGCGGCTAGCCTAAATCAAGATGTCGTCTCTGCATAAAATACCACATTTCATAAATTTAATACCTAGAAAAGTTTAAAAAACCCACTGATTTTTAAATATTAACATTTTAATATGTTGGGATGAATAAAATACATTGTTAAAACCACTTTCACTACTGGGAACATTTTCATTGCTCAAGTGGCTAACGTTATGCTCCTACTGGACAACACTGGTATGCACAGCAACTCCAGAGGCCAGCAGCATCCGCAGCAAGGGTCAGGAGGCCAGTCACTGGGGACCCGGCAGGGTGGTGGGGGAGCCCAGTGGAGGAGGAGGACCAGGAACTTCGGGAGGGATCTCCGTTACTCACCCACCCGGGGCTGGCAGCAGGGACAGTGGTGTTGGGATGCCGTGTGGGCCCTGTCTGGGTGACAGGGCTCACTGCATGCAGTCAGTGCCCTCGAAAAGCTGGTTCTCCACACGGCATGCCCGTCCCCTGTCTTGCACAGTTGGCAGCTGCCATTGTGGATGCCACCAGCCTGGTGCTGTGCTTTCTGTCCAGGAAGCAGCTGGACCTGCTGAGCATTTCTGCAGCACTTTGTCATTCCACTGAAACCTGGGCCCCAGCCTCTGGGACCCTCCCACCAGGCCTCCCAGCTGCACATCTCTAAGCACTGGGCCCTGCTTCTGGCTATCGGGCTGCCAGGGACAGGGACTTTCCACTTGAGGAGAGGGTGACCCAGCCGGTGCCAGGCTGAGGCCCGCAGGCTGGATCCCCACAGCAGTGGCCCCAAGACCTGCAGCTGAGCTGTCACACTGTGGGGACCCCACCCAGCTGTGGACTGGGGGCAAACTGGAGACCAGGAGGGAGGGAGGAGAGGCCTGGACTGCAAGGGTGGGGCTCGGCTCTCCCCAAGCCTGTGTCCCTATCTGCATACCCACAGGCTCACCCTAGGGGCCTGGAACTCAGTACCAGGAACAGCAGCTGTGGCTCCGGAGTGGACTGCCCCATGCAAATACCGTCTGTGTGACATCTGGCTTGTGACCCTCTCTGGGCCTCTGTTTCCACATTCATAGGATGGAGGAGGGTGCGAAGGGGCGGGTGACTCTGTCCTCACCTTCCTGAGGTGTCTGGCCCCAGCCAGGCCCCTGAGACCTGAAAGGCAGAGTCTGGAAATAGGGGGAAAGCTGGGCATGGCGGTGCTCGCCTGTAATCCCAGCACTCAGGAGGCTGAGGCAGGAGGCTCACAATGAGTTTGAGGAGGGCAGAAGAGGCCCACGGGGTCACCATCAGCTTTCTCAGGCAGGTAGGTAGCCACACTGGGCAGGCCGGGCTGGTAGCCATGCCTCCCCGAGGGCGTAGCAATGCATGGGTTAGTGCTAAGCACCACCAGGGCAGATGCTCAGGCTTGGCCTCTCCCCTCCTTGGCTGGGTCTTTAACAGCATCCCAGTCCATACTCAGTGGCAGTGCTAATGCTGACCTCCACACGAAGCCAAGGGGACAGATGAGGCGCAAGGGCTAGGTCCCCCAGCCGGATGATCACAGAGGTGGGAAGAGCCAGGAGGGTGAGCAGAGTCCCCGGTCAAATGCATAGGGCCCCAGAAATGGAGAAGGGAGGAGGTAGGAGCATTGGCAGTGAACAAAAGTGGCTGTTCATGGGAGGCTTGACCCTGCCCCAGCCTGCAGGCCCCTGGCTGATGTCACCAACTCGGAAAAGGGCTTTGTCACTCAGCCTCAATAGGCCTGCCCCAGGCTCCCCACCCACGGCCAGCTCCAGCCAGAGCTCCGTGCAGGCAGGGCCCCTTCCCAGAGGCAACCTGGCACCACCTGTGACACACTTCTCCATTCACCCACCCTGGCCTGGCCTGGCCTAGGCCGAGGACCTCATGAGCAGATCAGAGCTGCAGGCCCGGCCCTTCTTCCTGCCCCTCACCTCAGGCCCAGAGAAGGGACGGAGGGATCAGCAGGCACCACACTTGGCACAGTCCTGGCAATGGTGTCGTAGTCTCACCGGCCCCGAGCCTGCTGGCCCCTGGTGGGGCTGGAGGAACCGGACGCTCCCTGGGGATGAGGTGGGGGGTGGGGTGGGAGGCCCTGATCCACGGTGTGGCGAGGCTGGTGGAAGCTCTGCTGGGCGGGGAAGGGGCTGTGTTCCAGGGCTGCAGGCAGCCGGCATCCACCCCAGGGCCCTCATAGGCTCAGCATGACATCGAGGTCCTGGAGACGTCAGCCCGACCCTCTCGTGGGCAGTCACAGCCACAGGGCCTGCTCTGCTCCCCGGGGCGCTGTCCTCGGGGTTCTGCGCCAGGCTGCGCTCCTACCGCTTCCGGAAAGCTAGAGGTAAAAGAGGCCCCTCTGCCCAACACAGGGCTGGCCCGAGCTCTGGAGAAGGCGCATGGGGATTGGCATCCAGGACGAGGGGACGGCGCATGGGCGCGCGGGACAGCTGCAGGAGGCGCCTCTGGGTCACGCCCGCGCCCGCCGCCACCAGCCAGCGCACTGCCGGCGCACGGGGCAGAAGGGTGCAGCGGGGCGACCCTGCCTCACGGCGCTCTGCCTAGGAGTCTGGGTCCTGGTGGCTGCACACGACGCCTGCGTCCTCCTCGTGCCCGCAGTTGTGCGTGCCCACGCCCGCGTGCGTGCACTGCAGCAGCGTGGGCTCGGGGCCGGCACAGCGGACGTCGTCCAGCAGGATGGGCATCGAGCGGCCCTCGCCGAACTCAGCGCGCTTGGCCGCACGCACGGCTTGGGCAAAGCCCAGCTGGCGACACACGACGGTGGCGGCCTTGCTGTCCCAGGCGTCGTCGCACACAGTGCCCCAGCGCCCGCCCGCGAACACCTCCACGCGGCCGCGGCCCGGACTCAGCCCTGCGGGGCGCACCAGGCGCACCGCGCCGTCCGAGAGCGCCG